GCAGTTATTCAAAATGAGACACTTGTTCAAATGAGTTTGTAGGCAATTGGGTTAGCTCTTACCTTCACCTGTAATTGGAGAAGAGAACTCCAGTGAAATATATTATCTCTTTATTTTTTAAAAATACATTTTTATTGATTTCAGAGAGGGAGAGAGAGATAGAAACATCAATGATGACACAGAATCATTGATCAGCTGCCTCCTGCACATAATCTGGGCATGTGCCCTGACCAGGAATCGAACCATGACTTCCTGGTTCATAGGTCAACACTCAACCACTAAGCCATGCCTGCCAGGCTAATTCTTTATTTTTAATTCCATCATCCTGGTAACAGGATCTTTAGATTTTTATATCTGAAGGTGGTTTCTGAAGCATTGGTTTCATCTCCAAGATCAAAAATAGCTATTATAATAACTGACAGGCCAACCACTTACAAGTTTGATTCCCCCAGTAACATAAACCAAGCAAGCGTAAGAATACTATTACAGGTAATAACTGAGGGGGCGTAGAGTAAAGGCTTAGACACATTTCACTTGAAGTGGACTTTATCTGAAACACACACTGAAGGGAAGAGATGCACAGTACATTCTAGAGGCCTCCGACCTGGTAGGGTCAGAACGGAAGCAGGCAATGACAAGGCTCTGAGTGCAGGACGTGAGTAGGGCCTCTCCATTCCTTCTCAATGGTTGGCAAATGGGTGCCAGGTTGGAATATTCCACTTAACTGAAAAAGGGGAGTTACTTCTTTAAAAGCCAGAATAGGAAGAGGAAGTAGTGCACATTCAGAAGCACTTCAGGAACTCACCAGGTTCTGTCAAAGGGAGCAGCTCTTAAACAAGATCACAGACGCGGCAGGAAAACGTCCTTGGCCCCGAGTTCCCTGGAGAAAGCACTGAGCTGGGTTGCAAGAGTCCTGCCCAAAACCTAGGCTTCCAACAAGTCATGTGACCTCTCAGACCCACTTCATTAACAAAAGGAGGATGTGGGACTAGCATTAGCTTTGCAAAGAGCCTCCTAGATCTAAAGCCTTTAAAGGTACCCTAAACTATTTTTTTAAAAATAAGTTTCCAATGCGAGCTTATTTGCCAATTACTTGTCTTTAAAAGGAATGTGTGGAGAGACCCACTATTGGAAAGTTTTAGATTTGAGTCTCAGATAAACAGAGAACCAAACCTTCATGCCAGAAAGGTGTCCAGACTTAGGTGTAAACTAGTTCCTCTGAAGGCAATGCCACCAACAGTTTTCTCCATTATTGCCTAGAAACATCTGTGTGTGGGACTCTAGGCATGACCCTTTGGTTAGGCATAGAGAATATTTTAACTCAGGCTGGTTTTCCTGTTACAGTCTCCCATCCCTCAATGCATGTTCTGGGAATAATTCTTCTTGTTTACCCTTCACTTCTCATTACATTGCTAATTACAGCATCTCCATCAGACACTGATGAGAAAAGGGAGGGGGGAAAAACAGCCAGATTCCTTAATTCTTCTACTTTTCATTAGTCTCAGCAGTACATTTAGAAGGCAAAGAAGATGGAACTATTGGTTTAAAAGATATTGGGAGATAAACTGTAACTTCATTGATTTTGCTTACCTTCTCATGGCATGGGCTCACATGATGGCTACCTTTTTTGTGGCCTCTTCTTTGATAATACAGAAGTAACAGAAACTACATATGGAATAAAGCTAGATGGAGAAGATGCCATATCTCAGGCTGGTAAAGATGTACGCAATCTGAAGAGATTTAGCTTTATCCTTTGAGTGTGCATGTGAATATGAGTTTTGCATTAGCCCAAAGTTGTGTGTTTGACCTAACAATGTTAACTTTTAAAGAGTTTTTAAGATCACTTTTAACTTCATTAAAATAATATATTTTGGTGGTGGTGGTGGGGGGGAGTATCCAGGACAGCGAGGCTAATTAGCAGGACAATCTCTAGAAAGGGGATTTCTTTACAAGGGCATAACACACAAACATCCACACACACCCACATGGGTATACACTCCTGCGCCTCAAATACCAACAGGTGCAGAAAGTCCCCTCTGCAGACTTTGTCGCAGACTCATACGAACTATTGTTTCATCCAAGACTCCGAGGAAGAGGTCAAGGCAGCCAGAACAGTAGCCCCTTGGAGCCGGAAGGGAGTTTTCCACTTTCTCCTTTGAAATAAATTGGGAAAGGCGCGAGGAGGGGCAGTGTGGAGCCAGCATCAACCTTCTGTCAGCATTCACCTCCCAGCAGCCCCCATTTACTGGCCCTCACACCCCCACTCTTTTCAAACACGGAGCACTGGGAGGGTCACATCAACCTTCCTTCGCTTTTCCATTTTCTCTCTGTCTCATGCATTCCTCTAAATGTCTCCAGTTGCTTAACAAGGTTTAATCTGCTTTGGAGAAAAGCAGCAAATAACATCAGTGGTTAATGCACCAATGGCTAAAGGCACAGTCCGAATCTAATCACCCTCGAAGCCCATTCCTTCCTCCAATCCCACCTTCCTGCCTTGCGCTTCGGTCCAGCTGTCAGCCCCATCTGCCCCCATCCCACCACCAGGACCTACTCCGCTGCCACCAGCGCCCACAGCAACCCCACACCACTTTGCACACACCGCTTTCCTCAGTGAGCTTCAGCGCTCAGGAGCTGCCAAGCCCATGCCTGAGGGAGAGGGACCACTCTCCATTCCAGTCATTCAGAGAGAATGTGGTCTTTCAACTGAGGGGAAAAACTAAACAGGGATAGACACAAACAAGAGAGGGAGCAGGCAGAGGACGTTCTGTCACAACTCCACGGCCATGGAACCAGAGATCCGAGTCCTGCCAATTCCTCATTATCCGCATGAATAGATGATCCAAGCCATCCAAACAGAAACAGTTTTATTTCTTGTCCAGAAGGCTTTGGTGCTAATATTTAAATGCGGGTGTGTCTAGTTGTTTGCTATTCTGGGAATCCACCTCAGACAAATAAGGAAGCTGCCTTATGAAGACCAGGCTTCCAGTTTCCCCTTCCGGTCCCTCCCAGCCTCTGCACAGCCTGGAGCAACTCCTCCCAGCGGCTCACTTCTAGCAGGAGCTGGGGGCAGAAAACAGACCCTCCAGGAGCAGAAGGAGGGACAAGGCAGGAGTGTTAGAGAGACAGGCTTCTGAATTCCAAAGGGCTTTCTGGCTGGGATGGACACATTCTGGAAAGTGCAAGTAGAAGTGAGGAACGGGGTGAGTCCTGACTAGGCCGGGAAGATGGGTCATCCACAGAACAAGCTGCCCAGCAGGCAGGCGACCTCAGGAGCTGCCCAGGCTGGCTTCCTGGCCACAGCTCAAGTCGCTTTGGATCAGCTGACCTGCAACAAGGAACCCGGGCCTTGTACATCACTGAGGCATGACACGCTTGGTATCTTTCTGAGAAGCAGCAACAGGATTGACAGGCTCCCGGGCCAAGATGAGGTGGGTCACAGCTTCTTAGGGAAGAAGTCACTTCTTTATGGTCACTTCTTTATGGTGACTCCTGGCGAGCTGCCTCTAAGATGTAGCTTTTTAAATTGTAAGAGAGGCTCTCGTCATAGGAACATCATGGGGAGCTGCTGCTTTGCCTGGCTGTACAACCTACCTGGGCCTGTCAGACAAAAGAGGGGATGGGGAACGTCCATCCCTTAGGCCATAGAAGGCCCACAAAATCATGTGGTCTGGCCCTGCCAAGCATTAGGGGTGAGTTAATTAAATGTTTGACCAAATATAGGAGGTTTATTTTTAAGTTGATAATTTTGTATGGCCCACAAATGATGTGATAGATATCCAAATGGCCGTGGCAGAAAAAAGGTTCCCCACTCCTGCTACGTATTCAAACCATAACATCCTCCCATTGCACACACAGGAAGACTGTGTGTTCCAGTCCCCTCACCTAGCTGGGGCCCTGTACTAATTCCAGTCAATGCAGAAGTGTGAGCCATCTTTAGTCCTGGCCCCTGGACCTCCTGAATTATCTTTGATGTTCTTTCTCTCTCCTCTCTGGCCAGTTGACTGTGAAAGTTCCAGGGAGAGCCTCTTAGGCCTTGGGGAATGGTGTCCTGACTCTGCAGAAGGTGCCTGGGTCCCAGAGTCAGCCTGGAGGTGGACCGTCCAGGAGATCCACATTCTACTGTGGTTGAGAAATAACCCTGATTATGCTAAGTTACAAAGACTGTTAGAGCAATCAGCCTATCTGACTAATATATATCCTGTGTGCTGCTGGGGGCCCACAGTTTTCCAGCTCCCTTATTCATATCATAAAGATCACCATATGCAAATTAGCAGAGAAGGTACACCTAAAACCGGGCCATTATATTCCTCTAAAAAAACCTTTAAAAATTAAGTAAGTGAGGAAGAGGGTTTCTCGTATAGATTTTAGGCAAAATAGGTACAGCGCCTTCCTCACCCAGAAAAGCATTTTTTCTCAACTGTTGGTTAGTTGATCAGTGAATTCATTCATTCACAAAAATATTTACTAGTGCCTGCCCTGTACACTGAAAGGAGTTAAGATACATAGTAAAGTTGTGATCAAGAGAGACTTAATTCCCTTCCCTTACGGTGGAGTCAACATTATAATTAAGGAGGCAGATAAACATATAATATGTAATAGAAATGACATATCATGATAAGTGCTCTGAAGAATAAAACAGGATAAGGAAGAGAGACTGATGGGGAAATTTTAGAGCTGACTTCTGAGCGAAGACCGGAATGTCTGGGACTCCCCAGGCTTGCACTCTGTGGGTCTGCCAATTCTATTTCTTTTTTCCAGCTTCACTGAGATGTAATTGATCTACTATTTTCTGAGTTGAAGATGTACAATATATTGCTTTGCTGCACTTACACACTGTAAGTGACTGCCACCATAGTGAATACTAAGTGTCTTCCAACGCTGGCAATCGGGAGGTGGGGGAGGCAGGCAGGTAGCTGGCAGCACTTCACTAGCACAGAGATTTCAAGGTCTCAGGGGCCAGACAAAAGCAGGCCCTCAAGGGTGCTGTGGGCAGATATATGCATCCCAAGGAACCCCCAAGGGCCACTCTGAAGAGCCCATACCCTCCAAAGGGAACATGATACAGTTAGACTCAAATTCAACCAGTAATCATTGAGTGCCTGCTCTGCACAATGCACTTGGCAGTACACTTTCACCCTATTACTTACCTAGTCACCTGCCTATTCAGCCATGGAAATCTCATTGATTAGAGCTATTCCTGAGGCAACCATATGCCCCAGTTTGCCAAAAGAGATCTGGATTACAACTGTTGTCTCAGAGAAATTATTTATAGTGTTCCCTTTCACTCTCAAAAGTGTCTCCGTCTGGACAATAAGTTACATGATCACTCAAGGGGCCCTTATCTATAGTAGATTGATAAACTCAAAGCCTTTGTTCAACAAGTATTTCTCCAGTGCCTTCTGCATGTCCGATGCTGTTGGATTCTGGGAATGTAAGGATGAAGACAGGGTCGGTGCCCTGGAATACCACATTGTAACTGGTTGAAACACATACAGTACATAAACAATACAATGGAGAGTGCAGTGACCGGGACGGACATACGGTGTGATGGGTGATGTGGGCATCAGTGGCCTGGCCTCCCTTTTTGTGGTCCTTGTGCTGACCAAAAAACTGGAAATGAAGCCACACTCCTTCACAGCATCATTCTTACCCATAACTCTATGGGATCTTAAAAACCTAACCTGGATTCTTATTCCCCTTTCACCACCTCTCCAGCCACCCCTTCCCAGATGCCTGACCTCTAACTGCTGGAGTGTTCCAGGGCACATCTCCCGACCTTTCCTTTCCTTCTGCACACAGACCCCATCTTAGCACAACTCTCAGTCCCCAGTCCTCTCTCAATTCCAGTCATGAGTACCCAAATCTTAATCAACATCCCTATCTGGATGCCTGATACACTTTTCAAATCCTAACAGACCCAAGCCATAAACACCTTCTCATCTATTCCCCTCACGTGCTTTCCGGTTTAAGGAAATGGCAGCTTCATTCGTTCAGCTGTGCAGACAAACATTTTTGAAGTTATCTTTGACTCCTCTGGTTCTCTGATGTCCCACATCCAATCCCTCAGCAAATTCTTTTGGCCTGACCTTCAATGGACATCGAGACCATCTCTTGTCACCACTTGATGCTCTACTACCTGCTGGTCCAAGCTAGCGCCATTTCTTGCCTGTTTTACCGCAGAAGCCTTCAGCACAGCACCCAGTATTACCCTTTGTAAGACAAGTGAGAGCCGCCAGCAGCTCCCACCGCCCTTGAAGTAACAGCCCAAGTCCTTACCACACTACCACAGGCCCTGCATGACGTGGTCTGGGATTACCTCTCAACCCCTGTTCCTCCCACCTGTCTCTCCTGTTCTTGCTGTTCTTTGACCATGTCCTTGCTACTCCCTCCCTTGCCGTTTTCAGATGTTTGTTCAAATATCACACCACTGAGGCTCCCCTTAATAATTCTACCTGTAGTTTCACCTTCCCCCACCCCAGCACTCCTTATTCCCTGCCTTATTCTCCCCCACAGACTTAATAAGGCTGCGAGATAAAATACAGAATGATTGGTTAAATTTGAATTTCAGATAAATAATAAATAATTCTTAACATAAGTATGTCCCAATCGTGTACAGACTATACTTATGCTAAAAAAAATTATTCGTGGTTTATCTGAAATTCAAATGTAACTGGGCATCCTGTATTTTTATTTGCAAAACCTAGCAATCCTGCCATCTAGCATGCTATATATTTTACTTATTTGCTCATTATCTGTCTCTACTGCCCCCATCTGCCCAAACTTAGGCCTTAGAATATAAATTCAATGTAGGCAGGTACTTTTATTAGTCTGTTTGCTGCTAGATCCCCAGTAGCTAAAAACAGTGACTACTACAGAACAGGTGCTCAGTATTCATTGAGCAAATGAATAAATGAATAAAGTGGTCACACTCTCTCTTTGTGGCCAGCTCAAGTCTCTCAAGCATCTTTCAATTGCTGTGCTTGTTTGAAAGTTATTTCTTAAATTGGTCCCATTCTAATGGCCCAGCTAGATTCTGAGCCATTTATTGCAGCAAAGGCCCAGAGGCTGAATTCCTGCCTTAGGATTCGGTCCTAACAAATAAGGGTGGGGGAGGGGCGGGAGGCAGCCTTATCTCCTGCTGGACCCCACTGACCAGGCACCTTCAAGGAGAATGCTCTGCTTTGGAAGTGCAAGCCGAAGCCAGGACTGACGAATACAAGACTCAGGGATTTTCCAGGGGTTTCTAAGCTTAAAGTTTCCT